ATATATATATATTAGGGGTGCAATATACATATAAAATTTATTTAAATTTTTTTCCATTGAGGTTGAGGCTCAATGGTGGGCTGGACAGAAGTCACCCGCGGGCCGTACGCTGCCTGTGGGCCACCATTTGAATATTGAATAGCTCTGATTTATCTTGTTGGTCCCCCCCACCAAGCTAAATCTGTGTGTGTGGATGGGAGGAGCAAACGCAGCAGAAAATATGTGATTTTCAAAAATAGCCGTAGTAGTGTGAATGCAGAAACCAGCTGAAGACAATGTTGTAGTTTCTCTCCAGTTGAGTAAAAACCAATCTGGATGAGACAGACAGAATGTAAATCTGCAGTTCCTCTAGGGATCTGATGGTTCAGGGATTTCAAATGTTTCTTTGTTCTGTACATCATCCTCTACCTGCTGCTAAGACTTCTAATAGAGTATTTTATGTGTTAAATTAGCTTTTTTTATTTTAATGTATTAGTTGTAACATTTGTTGTAACACATTAAAGAGTCCTCAAACTTTCAGTCAGACCACTTCGCCGCCTGAGGCTCCTGGGTCGGAGTTCATGAAGTGTTTTCGAGTCCAGGTCAGTCTGTTAGGATGAGATGAGGTGCATCAGTTAGCAGCCATGTTTCTTCCAGAGTTGTCTCCTCATCTGTGCTCAAGTTCAGAGTCTAAAAATCCTCCTGGACAAACCTTGGACAGTCTCTTATGGAGGTGCTCAGTTATGTTGCCTGTTTTCCAAACGCTCCAGTCTGAGAGGAGATGATCGCTCAGAGCTCAGAGTTTTGGATCTCCTACAGTCTGGAGGGGTTTGTTAGTTTTTGGTGCTCTCAGTCGGAGCCAGCGGTGGCTGCTTCTCCTCCTTCGCCTCCGTTTGGCCATCTTTCTTCTCATCGTCAGAGAAGAAGAGCAGAGGGAACATCCCGAGGAGGCAGCCGATGCCCACGCCAATGGCTTTACCCTGCAGGCAGGAGGGAAGAACATTCAGCAAATCCACCTTTTTTTTGACTCACTAGACTTTTTAACTAATATTTGGACTAACTCCATGTCAGAAAATGTCCCTAAACCAGCTCCGACATTTAGCGCAGCCTTTTAGTTCTGCTACAATCATTGCCTTTCACACTTCATCAGCCACAGCACATTCAAATCGGATTTCCTTTCAGCGTGACTGGAAAGACACGTTCCACAGAACCGAGTTTCTGTTGTCGGTTTGGTGTTTCCCGTCAAGACGACGGCTGCTTCGCTCGCATGTTGCAGAGAGAGTACGTACCGCGTGACAGCTGACTCTGGTCTGCCACATGTCGGCCTGCTTCGGGCTCAGATCAGGAATCTGCATCCCCAGCCGAGACGCCAACGCTTCCACGTAACCTGCCAGACTAAGAGCGGGGAGAAGCAGACACACCGTGGATTAGAAACATCAACGCATCAGAAGTGTGCAGGGTGAAAATACGAGCAGGTGTTCGTGGTTTGATATTTTGAAATGAGTGACGTTGAAATGATAGGCCTGATAACTTGTTAGTGATCATGACTGACCGCAGCTGAGAGTTTCAATGTGCCGTTAAGGAAAGGATTAGTTTGAGCTCTGCTACCATCAGATCACAGGAAAGTGGTTTAGATGGTCAGGAACAATCCAGGGATCGTCGAGAAACAAGTCTGCGAAGAACCAGAAACTGCTGGACCACCAGTGTCTCTACAGGACCATGGACTGAGAGGGTGCTGACCAGGACAACTATAACAAACGCTGATTCAAATACCACACCTATAGGCTTGACTAAAGCTGGCAGCTGCCTACATGGACAGGACGAATACTTCCTGGAGAAAAGATTGATGGTCCGACGTGACAAAAATGGGAAGTTGGTTTGTAGGAGTCAAGATAAGGGTCGGGCAATAATGGCATAAAAATTATCATGATTCTTGGTGGCATTTAACCGTTAACAATAAATATGATTAATAGATGACAACTGCTCTCGCATGTGGTCAATGGTGTGGTCTCGGTCCGCATTTTCTGGCTTTCCTCGTACCTCGGTTCATATCAGTGTTTCAGATGATTGGACGAGTTTGTAGGGTTTGAGCCTTTGTGGGGACAGTGAAGGTGTGTTTTAAAAATACATCTTCACCACAAGGTACTAATTGCAATAATTACAAAGTCTCAAATACTGTTGGCAGCCTTTTTTATGATTAATTGCACACGATAAGATCTTGCCCAGCCCTAATCGAGATGAGGCTTTTAAACCTAAGAACACTGAAGTGACTGTCAGGCACGGAGGTGGTAGCTTCATGTTGTGCTTCAGTAAATTATAAAAAAGGAGGATTCTCTTCATTTCATCTCAATCTAACAGTGACACAGTGTAAGCTTGGACACAACAGGGTGTTCCACCAGGACAATGATCCAAACACACATCAGAGCTGGTATCTGATTGGATAAAGCACGCTGACATTAAGCTGCTGAAAACACCTTCCCAAAGCCCTGAGCTCAGCTCTATAGAAAAATGTGTTTACTCTGCTTAAAAGTTAAGACCTCTGACAGAAAATCAACCACTTTAAATTTAACTTTTCCAATTCTTCTATTTGTATAATTTTACCACGGTGTGGACAAGTGAAAATCCCCAATTAGTTCTACAATGTGGACACAAGATTTGTTTTTAAAACTATTTAACTTATAATTTGTAAAGTCATTTCAACCTGTAAACAAAACAATTATAAATCATCAAGTCAAAAATTACCATGACACATTTTATTTCAAACCTCACAGATCTGACAGGTTGACTGATAATGTGGAAATGTAGCTAGAAATAACACAAGACAATTTTTTATATTCAAATTAGTTTTTATGCATTTTGTGTTTACCTGCCAGTTGTTCTGAATGGAAACAAATCTAAAAGACACAAAAGCTTTTAAACAAACTATCCAGACTGTCATTTCATTTCTTTCCTACTCAGTAATGCATGACTATCTGCTAATGTGGCAAAAAAATAAATAAATAAATAAAATAAAAAGCTGAAATTTCTCAGGTGTTCTAATGGAGGTGAAGTGTTTCCTTTTTAATTCTTTTCTTTTTCAACTGAAGATCCCTCTGAGTCCAGCTGAGGCAGGACTGATGCACAAACAAAGCCCTGAGACACAAAGAAAGCTTTAAAAGCAGATAATTGTGTCAAATATTTTCAAAGCTGTTAGTGGTTCCAGGAATCCAGTGACTAAAATAAATGCGGCAGAGGTCTGAAGTTACCAAAAAGCCTCAGAGCAAAAAGAGAAGATATTCTCTGATTAATAATGAAAGGCAGTGGTGGGCAGCACTAATCTAAAAATTAGTCGCACTAACCCTAAAGCACTAACTTAATATTTAGCCTCCCTAATTCTAAAGCACTAACTCACTTAAAAATTTAGTAAAAGCTAATTCTAAAGCACTAAAATCCCAGCTGACCCATGGAGCATTCCTCAGAGTCAACATGACAATATTTTCTGTGAGCAGAATATTGTTAATATTTCATCGTGTAGTGGTTCCCAAAGTTGGGGTCAGGACCTCTTTGTGGGCCACAAAACATCAAGTGAGGGTAAATGCAAAAAAAAAAAAACTGCTAATGGAATTTTTCATCATGATTATTGCAATTTTTAAATAATCATAAATTAATAAAAATTAGTATCATAGTTATTAGGTTTGTTTAAAGTTATTATTCCCATGTTTAACAGAGTTATTAGCAAAGTTTGCTACGTAAACAAGTAATATCTGGGGTCATGAGTGTCTGCAACTGTTATTTTGTGGGTCAGAACCAAAACAGTTTGAAAATTACTGATCTAGTGGAGAAGTGACCAACATGTCTGACAGCTTTCACCCTCAGCTGTTGACAATAATTTTAATCAATATTTAAAGAACTCAATTAGTGCTTAGAAATTTGGCAAGTGCTACTCCACTAATGAATTAAGAAATTAGTAAAAGCCCTAAAGCACTAATCAGAAAATGAGTTCCTCTGTTAGTGCTTTAGGGTAACTGTGCCCACCACTGATGAAAGGGTTAGCTTTCTATGAAGAAACACGTATCACTCGCCACATTTCATGTTAAAGTTTTAGACCAGATGGCAGACAAGATTCTTCTTAAAGGGCTGTAGTTTTGAAATGGACTTTATGTTCTGAGGAATGTCATTCCATGCTTTAGTATAAACATAGAAGAAAGACCTCTGGCHGTAACAGTTTTTAAAAGTTGGTAATATCAGTTGTCCTTTTGTAACAGATCTAGTTGAATGACCACTTCCAGAATTTGATTTGGGCAACAATGCACAGAGAGTTCCATAATTGGCACCTTGGAAGATCTGAAAATATAAATTAATACCACTATACAAAACATAATTCTGAAAAGTCAAGGCATCAGACAATGAAAGAACTGTACAGTGATGAGTCCAACCAGGAAGTTTTTTATAAATTTTGTAGGCCCTGTTGTAGAGCCTAACTATGGGTTCTAAGATTTCATTTGTTGTAAGAGACCAAACAGGTGAACAGTACGACATGGTTGAGAGTATAATGGCATGAAGATAGATATTTGAAACAGAAGATGTCAGATTGGATCTAATTTTTTGAATAAACGTATAATTTCTGTTTCAACTTAGTGGTTAAGACTTGTACATGATCACGATAAGTCAAATGAGAATCCAAAGTAATTCCAAGATATTTGTAGGTAGTGACAATATCAAGGGGTTTGTTTAAAAAAGTGAGTTGATTTATTATATTGAAATGTCTCCTGGGTGAGGAAAAATACATGCACACAGTTTTTTTACACTAATTGACAAAAGATTATCTTGAAGCCAACCATGAAATGTCTGAAGRTCTGCTTGTAACTGACTATTAATAGATTCAATATTGAAATCAGACAAAAAAGAACAGTATCATCAGCATACATTAAAATATTTGAATACTTCAATATTTTGGAAGGTCATTTATGTATAATAGGAAAAGCAATGGGCCCAGTATGCTGCCCTTCTCATTTCTGATGCTGACTCTTTAATATTCTCAGTTAGAAATGCCGATTATAAATGCAAGCGTGAGCTTTTAAAGATAAGTTTTCCCTGTAATGCTATGATCCTCTGCTGTCAACTCCTCATCAAGAGGAAAATGGAGAAAAACTAACTACTCGATCGATCGTACCTGCTGGTTAGTGGACACAACGGCACACAACAGAACTCACCTTTTATACCAGTAGATCACAGATGCTTTAACTTTTGTGACTTTTTCATGGACTAGTACTGGGAGCTTACGCTAAAAACATAGGCAGTAAGCAGGGAGTGGAAGGGAGGAGCGTGGCAAAAATTTTTACCGGAAATACGTCATTAATGACCGTAGCATATAGGCTATTGCCCATCCCTGGTTCAGACAGATCATCTCATGTTGAGAAATGATGGAGTTGCAGATGTTTCGGTCAAACCTTGAAGACATCGTTAAACACAGTCTTGTGATATTGTAAGATATTGCGTTCAGACAGTGTGCTGTGAAAGTCTATTGGCTACAGTCATATCAAATGTTAGCAAAATATCCATAAAACTGACCGAGTTACAGCCATGCTTGTGTAAAGATCAGTTGGCAGCAGTTGCAGCAATGATTATTTCCTCCAGGTTTCATTAAAACTCGTCTGGTGGTTCATGAGAGATTTGGGACACAGACAGACACACCAACGTAGACAAAAGGCAAAAATATTCGAGCTCATCTTTTGGTTTTTGGTGGCGGGACGTAAAATTGATGGAGGGCCGTCATCAGGACGACATGTTCAGCCCTAAACTGCCGAAGCACACGAATGTAGAGCAGGAGAAGCAGATTGTGTGAGAAAATAAATGTGAGTGAATATCCTGGAGCCACCCTGATAAGTCTGCTTCAGTCAGCGGCACTAATGGATTCTCAGTTCACTGCACACACAAATAAGCTGCAGCTGCCCAGTGAAGGTGTGTGTGTGTGTGTGTGTGTGTGTGTGTAAGATGATGGTCAAGCCTTGGTGTGAATTTCATCAGGTTAGGCAGAAAAAAAAATCTCAAGCTAAACATTTTCTTCTAAGTTAACATATTCTAAACAAAACTACATGCAAGACAGCCCCCTCAAATTTGAAATTAATCTCTTTTTATAAAACACACATGCCTGTGGAGTCAAATTCAATCCAGATATTTCACCCACTTGTGAGAGCAGAAGGGTAAAACCCCTCAGAACATAATATACTGCAGTAATAACTACACAGAGTAAAATATGATGAAATATATGGAAAGACTCGGATCAGAGTCGTTCTTCAACATGAGAAATGTTTCACTTTGTAAGAAGCTGAAAGCAGCATGAAAAGTGAGGCGAGCACACTGAGAGCAAGACAAATGTCAAAAAGCACATTTTTATTCATAAAATCACATTTACTGGAACCGAATCTGTTCTCCTTTATACGTTTGTGCTTTATGACACAAACAACAGTTTCATATGGAAATCAGAGGGGATTTAGGCCTTGCATTCCTTGAAGGACCTTGAAGGAATGCCTAACACCAGCCAACTTTCATAGCAGAATTACAAAATAAGATAATTTTATCTGGAAAAATAAAAAAAACTTATTTTATTTGGTGAAATCACAAAAACAACACATCGGATGATTTATTAGCACAAAGGGGATGACTCAGCTATAACCTTTAGCTTCCTTTCTGTAAAACTGAGGGCATATGGATTAATTGTGACAAAAATCTTGACAGACAGATGGAGTTGTCTTCATCGGTTACAGACAAAGTTCTAAATGAAATATGACAGTTATATAAGTCAGTCACTGAAGATGCTCAGAGTCACTCCTAGCTCAGCAATGTGGGCTTCCAGTATTTGTCCTGTTTTTCTCCAGCTTGGCTGAGAGCTCCACGGTGCACTGGGAGGCTCCCCATCTGCCCCAGAAAGCCACTGATGCTTCGTGTCATAACAAAAAACAAAACACTTGGCACAGCTGAGGAGGCTGAGGCATCAGTAATAACTGGATCAGAATGACTCATGAGCTAAATTAATAACGGAAGTGATTCTCTACATTTGTGATCCGTGCTGGTAAAATGAGACAGAATGCTCTCAGGCTGCAGGGAGAAATTAGAGGAAATATTGATTTTTCTCTGTAAGGCTGCAGTAAATCTGTGGTCTTATAATCCTGAGGCTGCAGGTTCGAGTCCAGGTTGTGTCAGGAGGGACATCCAGTGTAAAAAAGGGACCTGCCAAATCTTTCATGTGAGTTTTCTTGCTGTGGAAAACCTTGCAGAAAGGAGCAGTTAAAAAAACACTCAACATTGAGTTTTAACAACAACGCAACATTTAATCTCTCTAATCTAGCTTTAGATCAAAGTTTGTGAACAGGGATATCTTCAGAAATAAGCCTTTATCTTATAACCCTTATTTTCTTTGAAATTAACTAAAAAAATCCAAATTATCCTTGCTTTATCTTGATCTACACAGAAAAAACGTTAAATATAGTTTTATTTAAATATAAGTCATCATCTATATCAATCCCTTTATTTAATCACTGGCAAACTGGGTAGGGCTGCCACAATTAGTCGACTAGTCACGATTATTGTCAACTATTAAAAACATTGATAATTTAATAGTTGGTGCGTCATTTTTTTCTTCTAATTTTGTTTTTCTCTCCAAACTGCTACATCTGCCTTTCTGTCCTTGACACACATGTGCAGTAGTGGTAATTAGGGCTGCCATAAAGGATTATTTTTATAGTCAATAAACCTGAGTGGTCTGTTGACTGACATTTGTATTTGTTCAAATAATTGTTATGGGCAGGTTACAATATAAAAATGTTTGTCATAATCACGTCGTGATTATTTGACAGGAGTTTTACTTTTAAACTGTAAGTGTATTTAATTTAGTTGTGTTAGTTATGATAGTTTAGTTATGATCTAAATACAATAAAAATTAAACCAAGATTTAGAACAATTATCATTTTTGATCCATACATTGGTAATGTCTGACTGGGCCTCGTGTCACTTTATGTTCAATAAATTGGGCCCCGAGGTCAAAAAGGTTAAGAACCCCTGGTTTAAGCTGTTCTTATTTTTGTTTGTACAGAAGTAACAGTCACATTTATTTTATGTTCAGACATCAACTCATATTTAAAGAAGTGATGTTTAATATACAGTCCACTGACATATTGTACATCAGAGGTGTGCAACGTGTTTTTCCAGAGGATCTTTTTGACTTAACAGTGTTTAAGACGTTATAAATTGATACATTTTTGTTTGACATGGACATTTTTACAGGACACACATGTTAAAATTTTAATCCTACTTTGATTTAAGAGAATTTTGTAGATCTGGTGTTTAAACAAGACTGTTTCTGTAAATCTGTCCAACAATTGATGGATGCTTCAGCCACAATGACTTCATATTGCTTTGTCATCCTTTTTGTCCAAAGAGCCATTATGACTTTTTGCTATTGCTAAAATATGTGTCACCAAACCTTCCTCAGTTTTCTCAAAACTCCAAACACAAAACATCTTTCTCAGTCCACATACACAAAACCTGAAATTCGCTTCTCAAAACCCAAACTTTTGCACCAAACAGTTGTTCGAATGCTTCAAATTTGTAAACAATATTTTAGACTATAGCAAAAAACAATGAATGAAAACACAATGTTTAGAGTGTGATGTTATTTTTTTAGTTTTTCACCAATGCTAAAACACAAAACCCAGTTCTTTAAAACAAATTACCGATTCCCTAGCAAAGTTCCCTGTGTTTGTCTGTGTCTCTTTCCTGTCCTCCAAGCAGCCGGTCGAGGCAGATGGTCTCCTGTCCTGAGCCT